AGGATTTCTTCAAGGATCCAGAGCCATACACAGCCCCTTCCCCTCGTTCTGCTCCTAGGACCCTTAGTGCATCAAGATGGCCTCCTAAGATGGTCAGAGCTCTGGGTCTTTGCCTGAACATCGCTTTGTCCCCCAGCCCATTAGCCACATATTCTGTCTGTCTCCTGTCTCAGTCTTATCCCTGATCCCCACCCTCTTCTCCCTAGGCCTTGGACAGAGCCACCTCCTGAATTTACTCTTTTCCCCAGCTCTGGTCCCTGCTCTGACCTGGTCCATCCATGGCACTAACATAATCCATGGTTTCTCACTCACACACACCCCCTAGGAACAACGTTCAAGTTCCCGACCCAGTCTGAGTGGTGCCCACAACCTCTTCCAGCCTTAACAGCTCCCCTGGGTGTAACAGGGACAACATGGGTCTTCCACCTGGGCACCTGCACACTTCGGCCACCTCCATGTTCTTCAGCTCCAGTGGCCCCTCCCCTGGAAATCCTTTCCAAACCATATCAACATATTCCCCCATAGACTCTTGTTCTTCCCCACCCCTTCACACCCCTGACCATCAATACTTGTCCTCCCATCAGACCCAGGCTCCCTTGAAGGCAGGGCTCAGGTCTGATTCATCTTGGTCACCACCATCACCCAGCACCAGGCCTGGCACACCAGAAGCCTCAGGGAATGTTTGCTTAAGTGATGAGTGGGCGAGTGAGTGTGCGCTGAGTGTTTTGGACTATACGAAGAAATCGTGAGTGAATTCATGAGGGCTGGAGGGATGAGCTGAACAGGCAAGGAAGGAGGGGTGCATGGGTGCATTTCTGGGACTCGGCATCCCTGGACTCAGTTTCTCCAATAAAGCAAGGGTTTGCCCAGGTTATGCACCCTCCTCCCCTCCGCAAGCCACGCCGTTTCCGGTCCAGGCCACATCCAAGAATCCCAATACTGGTCATTCTGGAAAGGACTTACCCGGACCGACCAGTGGAACAGGTTTCCTCACGAGCCCCTTCGGGCTTCAGCCTAACCGACCAGGATACCTCTGGAGCAGGTTCTCCATCTATTGGCAGAGTGGAAGAACTGGCGGAGACCGGCGTTTTTGAGAACCTACCGCTGCACGACTTGGGCCGCAGCCCCGCCCATTCAGGAAAGCGTCCTGAGTAACCCAGTGGGAAGTGAAGTGTCTATTGGTTGGATGACAGTGACTGACATAAGCCTAGCTTATTGCAGGACTCCGGATAGGACGAGTCAAGCCCGCCTGGCTAAGAATAGGGTTTCTGGCTTCTCGTACCTGAGGTGTTACCTGGAGCCCCCGCCCCTCCCGTTTTTGTTTTTGTTTTTTTTCTTTTTCTTTTTTTTCCAGTACTGAGGATTGAACCCAGGGCCTTTCGAAAACTAAGCAAGCGTTCTTATCACTGAACTCTTCTTTTATTTTTGAGATATCGGCTCACTAAGTTGCACTGGCTAGCCTTGAACTCACTATGTAGCGCAGGTTGACCTGGAATTTACCTCAACCTCCAGAGCGTTTAGGATTACAGGCTGACCTGCACCACCATACCTAGCCACCCTTGGGTCTGGAGGAAGAAGTCTGGACTCTGATCCTGAAAGAGCAGGGCACTTAGAACCCAAAGGAGGAAATTAAAGGTCAGGATTTTTGTGTCAGCAGGACCAGGGAACTGGGAACTGCAAGGTTGGGGTCCAGGAATCTGAAGCCCAGGATCTTGTGAGTCACTGGCCTGCCTGCCTGCCTGGGATGACAGATCTGGGGTTCATGGTTTTATGAGGCTATTTATAGGGAGCCAGGCCTTGTCCCCAGGCAAGTTTCTGAGTCCCTAGGCAGAGTGGTAAAGGTTGCTCAGGCCTGGATGTGCCCTTCCATCCTGTGTCCCTACCAAGGAAGCCAAGGGCAGGGCTCAGCCCACACAAGAAACCAGAAGGGGAGGAGACTTGAGCCTGATGTGGAAACAGGAGAAAAACATAAATACCAATGGAGAGATAAAAATAATAAAACAATAATAACAGCTCTCTTCTACTGAATTTACTGTTGCCTGGGTTCTGTCCTAAGCATTTTGCATAATTATTTCATGTTTTCCTCATGCTAGTTCTAGAGATTGGAGCATCATTATTGTTATTATTATTATTATTATCTCCATTTTACGAGTGAGAA